CCTCATTAGGTGCGTATACATTTAAGAGTGTGATTTCTTCTTGTTGTACACATCCCTTGATGAATAGGAAATAGCCTTTGCTGTCCTTCTAATCTTTTTCAACGTGAAATTGATGTTGTCAGATAGTAGTATGGCCACCCCAGCTTTTTTGAGGAAGCTATTTGCTTGCAGGATTGTTTTCCATTCTTTAACTTTGAGTCTGTGTTTGCTCTGTTGAGATGAGTTTCTTGTGGGCAGCAGAATGTTGGTTTCTGTCTCTGAATCCATTTTGCCACTCTGTGTCTCTTAATTGGTGAATTTAGACCACTGACATTGAGAGAGATTATTGTTATGGGGTTTTTTTTGTCATCTTTCTGTAAGGGTTGCTGTGCTTGTAGGATTTGTCTTGTCTTATAGTAACCTCTTTAGCCCTTCTTTTAGGTTGGTTTTGAGTCTATGAAGTTCCTGAGCTGCTGTTTATCCAAAAAAATAGTGTACTGTTCCTTCAACTTTGAGTGAGAGTTTAGCCGGATAGAGTGTTCTTGGTGAAGCATTCATTTCAGTGAGTTTTTTCACTATATCCCACCATTGCCTTCAGGCTTGGAGGGTTTCCTCTGATAGGTCTGCTGTGAATCTACGGGGGGCTCCTTTGTGTATGATTTCCTTCTTTGCCCTTGCTGCTTGCAGTATTGTGTCTCTATCGGTGGCATCAATCATTATAACTATGATATGTCTTGGAGTGTTTTTGTTCGGGTATCTTTTAGCTGACACCTTTCAGGCTCCTTGAATCTGAATGGCTGCACTGTCCAGCTCTATGAATTTTTCAGCAATGATTTGTTTAACCGTGGCTTTTTCACTGGGATTGTTTCCCTGAGCTTCTGGTACTCCAATAATTTTAATGTTGTTCCTCTTGGAATCATCTCTTAGGACTCTGATTTGCTTTAGAGCTATTTTGAGGTCTCTTGCCATTGTTTGTTGTTGTCTGTTGGCTTGCTGCAGCTGATCTTCCAGCTCACTGATTCTGTCCTCAGCTGTGGTCATTCTACTGTTGAGGGCATAGACTGAGTTTTTTATTTCATCTACAGAGTCTTTTATTCAGGACATTTCTGCTCTCATTTCTTCCCATAATTTGTCTATTTTTTTCTGTCATGTTACTGGATATCTGTCTGTGTCATTGAGTTTATTGAACATCTTTATGACTTCATATCTGAATTCTATCTCAGAGAGTTCCTTTAGGTGAGTAGCACCTACTGGGACTTCTGTACTCTTCATCCTTGTCCCCATGTGGTGGGGATTTGCGTTGTTTCTTCATGTTGGTGTGCAGGTATGGGAAATGAGATGTTCCACTAGATTTCTTGGTATGAGTAAACTAACTGCCTGTGTGAGCGTTGGTCCACCTGAAATTAGGCCACGCCCACGCCCACTTCTGCAGAAGCCACGCCCATTTCTAAAGAGGCCACGACCCCACGGGAAACTGGTGTGTGTGGGGGGGAGGATACTAGCTGGGAGGGAAAGAAGACCGGCAGGACGTTGGGGACGAAGAGCAGAGTCCTCTTCCTTTAAACTCCATCAAATATGGTGCAGTAGTCTTGCTGTTTTCCTTATGTGTTACAAACATATACACTACAACCTGATGGTAAATGGGTGTTTCACTGACAAAGAGGATAAAGTTAACATAAGGAAAACTTTATCAGCTTTACATTGGTATTAATTTTAGTCCATTCATATTATAATAGAGCCCCTCCCAACATTCAAATTCATATAATGGATTTCTTTTTTTTTTTTAATTTATTTATTGAATCACTGTGGGAAAGGTTACAAAGCTTTCAGGTTTATGTCTCAGTCATGCAAATATCAAACACATTTCCCTTTACCAATACTTATTTTTTACCATGAAGAACCCCAATAAAACCACACCCCCCACCCCTCCCCATCCCTGTGAGGCAGATGAATTCTAGTTAACACTCTATCTGCTTTGATTAGATTCATTGTTTCAATAAAAGATTCACCACTATTATTTAGAGTTTACCCCTCCCCCCAAAATCAGACATGCTGAAAAAGCATTGTGAAGTGATTTGCTTTCTACAGCTGGGTTCAAGAATTAAATGTTGGTTTTGGATTTCTGCTATTTTACCTATTGACCCTGGAAGTATTTCTACTGAAAGTCAGATAGTTAAGAAATTGGTTTCTGTGTTCTGGAGTCGTGGCCGTGCTGGAGAGCCGCTCGCGGGGGGCAACCGGTGGCCTCGGTAGGGCGTGAAGGGCGGAGCGAAACGCCCCCCCTTCCCATGAAGTTTTAGTCGCCCCCACACTCCCGGCTCATACCTGCTGTCCACAAGGCTCCCATGTGGCCGCCATCTTTCTTTCCAGAGAGGAGAGGGCGAATGGGACAACACCCTTTCCCCTCCGGCAGACTTGATGGGCTGGATCAACGCATAGTCCGTTCACTTTTCTGCTCCAAGCTGCTGGGTTCTGCATTAAGTCCTTGTGCTTCTGGGGCCATGGCCGTGCTGGAGAGCCGCTCGCGGGGGGCGACTGCTGACCTCGGTAGGGCGTGAAGGACGGACCGGAACGCCCCCCGACCCATGAGGTTTTAGTCGCCCCCACTCCCCCGGCTCATACCTGCTGTCCACAAGGCTCCCATGTGGCCGCCATCCTTCTTTCCAGAGAAGAAAGGGCAAATGGGGCAACACCCTTTCCCCTCCGGCAGACTTGATGGCCTGGATTAACGCATAGTCCGTTTACTTTTCTGCTCCAAGCTGCTGGGTTCTGCATTAAGTCCTTGTGCTTCTGGGGCCGTGGCTGTGCTGGAGAGCCGCTCGTGGGGGGTGACTGGTGACCTCGGTAGGGCGTGAAGGACGGACCGGAACGCCCCCCTTCCCATGAGGTTTTAGTCGCCCCCACACCCCCGGCTCATACCTGCTGTCCACAAGGCTCCCATGTGGCCGCCATCTTTCTTTCCAGAGGGAGGAGGGCGGAAGGGAGCAACACCCTTTCCCCTCTGGGCAGAAATGATTGCCTGGATTAACGCATAGTCCGTTCACTTTTCTGCTCCAAGCTGCTGGGTTCTGCATTAAGCCCTTGTGCTTCTGGGGCTGTGGCCGTGCTGGAGAGCCGCTCGTGCGGGGCAACTGGTGACCTCGGTAGGGCGTGAAGGACGGACCGGAACGCCCCCCTTCCCATGAGGTTTTAGTCGCCCCCACACCCCCGGCTCATACCTGCTGTCCACAAGGCTCCCATGCGGCCACCATCCTTCTTTCCAGAGAAGAGAGGGCGAATGGGGCAACACCCTTTCCCCTCCGGCAGACTTGATGGCCTGGATTAATGCATAGTCCTTTCACTTTTCTGCTCCAAGCTGCCGGGTTCTGCATTAAGTCCTTGTGCTTCTGGGACTGTGGCCATGCTGGGGAGCCGCTCGTGGGGGGCAACTGTTGACCTCGGTAGGGCGTGAAGGACGGACTGGAACGCCCCCCTTCTCGTGAGGTTTTAGTCGCCCCCCACACCCTCGGCTCATACCTGCTGTCCACAAGGCTCCCATGCGGCCGCCATCCTTCTTTCCAGAGAAGAGAGGGCGAATGGGGCAACACCCTTTCCCCTCTGGGCAGAAATGATGGCCTGGGTTAACTCATCGTCCGTTCGCTTTTCTGCTCTAAGCTGCTGGGTTCTGCATTAAGTCCTTGTGTTTCTGGGGCTGTGGCCGTGCTCCAAACTTAACTCTGACTTTCAGGGAGAAAGATTGGGTGGTTTACTTCTCATTGATCACTTTGTATATAGAGAGAAAAAGTTTTTGAGAAAAAGGTTTTGAGAAAAAGTCCTCGTTCCCGCATACTCGAGCTGTGTTTGTAGAGGCTTCTGGTCACCGGGGTTCCATCTGGGGGAGGCGGGATGCGGCACCTACTCCATCTGGAACTTGCGGGTGATCTCGGCTCTTTTTGGAACCTGTTTTTTCTTTTTTTTTTTTTCCTCCGGGATCCCGCACCCTCCATGTGTTCCTTCTCTTATGCTGAACGCTTCAAAGATCTGGATTTCTTAACATTAGCTTTAACTTAAAATTTGGGATTGTTTCACACTAAAGACATGAGCTCTAACTACAACCACTTAACTTAGTTGACACTAGTGGGAGATTGGTGTTGAAATATCATATGCCTAAAACTCAACTATAAATAACTTTGTAAATCATGGTTCTTTAAATGAATTTTTACAAACTTTTAAAAAAATAATAAAAACAGTTAAACGTCCTCAACAAAATCTCTCTTAATTTTTTCAGACTATATTTTATAGAAGTACTATGATTTATAGCACTGTAAATGATAGGTTCATGAATATATTTATGTATAGTTTCATTTTATGTGTAGTCACTATTATGTTAGTTTCACACTGACATTTATAATTCAATAAAGAAACGAATATATCTACACAATGGAATACTACTCAGTTATAAGAAAAAATTAAATCATGCAATTCTCAGCAGCACTGATGAAACGAGAGATTATCATGCTAAGTGGTTAATCAGAGGAAACAGAACCAATACTGAATGATCACTCTTGTGCAGTATAAAGAAACAGTAAAAGTGTCCAGTGGTAGCAGTCCCTGAGTGGATCTACAGAATGGAATTTGCTAAGAGGGTGGGATGAGAAGTTTCATTTCGTCAGACTTTGAAGACATTGGTGGAGGGACACTGACGCTCTGGTGGTAGGTGTGATGCTGGAACACTAAATGTCTGAAAGCATTTTAAGGAACATTATAAATAAAAGTATCTAAACAGAACTTGGAGAAAAGGAAAACAAAATCCATTTTAAAATTTAAAATGTCTTCTCTTCCCACGGGTGCATTAAAGACTAAAAACCTCAAACAAACAAAGACACAGGTTTCTCCTTTTTCCAGATGAACAATCTATATGTCAAAGGTCCTTTTTCCAGGGCAAAATGCCTTTCCCCTCCCCCATGCCTTACCAAACTCATTTATCCTTATCTGCACATCTTCAACTCTCATAATTGTTTCAAACAAAAATAATGTTTTACCTTTAAAGAGAGCCTCTGGGCTGCTTTTGAATCACTTGCAGGCTCTTCACTTTCCAGAGGTTTGCTTGATTCAGTTACCGGCACAATTTCGAAAGTTTCCTGAGATTTTAACAGGCTTTCTGTGTCTGACATTCCCCATTCTATTGCATCCTCTGGCTCAAGCTGGAAATCACTTGAATGAACTCCATAAAGTTCCTCAGACACAGGCTGTTGTTGGATGTAAATATAAAAGAACACTTTTCATATTAATCCATCTAAGGCATTAGGACATGCAATGATTCTATCCGGTAAAGTGTGTGTAAAAATATATGACTGAAGTTAAGCTGAGGTAGTAAGATTCCTCTGAAGATTTAGAAAGAAATATTTAAATTGACCTAAAAGGATTGTGAAGCCTGGTAAACTACTTTCCTTGGCCCTTGGCTCAGCTACCCCACAATTAGTAGGCACCACATCTAAGGAAATCTTACCCTGCCTGACTCCACCCCACATTCAGAGTCAAGGTGCACTAAACATCTGGCTTCTGCCCAACCGGAGCCAATCAATAAAACTTCCTTACAAAATATCACTCTTGTTCGTTACTTTAAAAATCTCAATGACTTGCACGGGAGCCTTGTGGAAAGCGGGTTTGAGCCGGGCTCGGGGGGGGAGCAGCGGGGACCCCATGGGAAGGGGGGCTTTGTGGGCCGTCCCCCACGCCCCACCGGGGTCGCCAGCTGCCCCCCACGAGCGGCTCTCCGGCACGGCCACGGCCCCGGAGGCACAAGGACTTAGCACAGAGAACCAGCCGCTTGGAGCAGAAAAGCAAATGGACTTGTGTTGATCCGCGCCACCAAGCCTGCCCGGAGGGGGAAGGGCGTTGACCAGCCCGCCCGTTCCTCTCTGGAAAGAAAGATGGCGGCCGCACGGGAGCCTTGTGGAAAGCGGGTTTGAGCCGGGCTCGGGGGGGGAGCAGCGGGGACCCCATGGGAAGGGGGGCTTTGTGGGCCGTCCCCCACGCCCCACCGGGGTCGCCAGCTGCCCCCCACGAGCGGCTCTCCGGCACGGCCACGGCCCCGGAGGCACAAGGACTTAGCACAGAGAACCAGCCGCTTGGAGCAGAAAAGCAAATGGACTTGTGTTGATCCGCGCCACCAAGCCTGCCCGGAGGGGGAAGGGCGTTGACCAGCCCGCCCGTTCCTCTCTGGAAAGAAAGATGGCGGCCGCACGGGAGCCTTGTGGAAAGCGGGTTTGAGCCGGGCTCGGGGGGGGAGCAGCGGGGACCCCATGGGAAGGGGGGCTTTGTGGGCCGTCCCCCACGCCCCACCGGGGTCGCCAGCTGCCCCCCACGAGCGGCTCTCCGGCACGGCCACGGCCCCGGAGGCACAAGGACTTAGCACAGAGAACCAGCCGCTTGGAGCAGAAAAGCAAATGGACTTGTGTTGATCCGCGCCACCAAGCCTGCCCGGAGGGGGAAGGGCGTTGACCAGCCCGCCCGTTCCTCTCTGGAAAGAAAGATGGCGGCCGCACGGGAGCCTTGTGGAAAGCGGGTTTGAGCCGGGCTCGGGGGGGGAGCAGCGGGGACCCCATGGGAAGGGGGGCTTTGTGGGCCGTCCCCCACGCCCCACCGGGGTCGCCAGCTGCCCCCCACGAGCGGCTCTCCGGCACGGCCACGGCCCCGGAGGCACAAGGACTTAGCACAGAGAACCAGCCGCTTGGAGCAGAAAAGCAAATGGACTTGTGTTGATCCGCGCCACCAAGCCTGCCCGGAGGGGGAAGGGCGTTGACCAGCCCGCCCGTTCCTCTCTGGAAAGAAAGATGGCGGCCGCACGGGAGCCTTGTGGAAAGCGGGTTTGAGCCGGGCTCGGGGGGGGAGCAGCGGGGACCCCATGGGAAGGGGGGCTTTGTGGGCCGTCCCCCACGCCCCACCGGGGTCGCCAGCTGCCCCCCACGAGCGGCTCTCCGGCACGGCCACGGCCCCGGAGGCACAAGGACTTAGCACAGAGAACCAGCCGCTTGGAGCAGAAAAGCAAATGGACTTGTGTTGATCCGCGCCACCAAGCCTGCCCGGAGGGGGAAGGGCGTTGACCAGCCCGCCCGTTCCTCTCTGGAAAGAAAGATGGCGGCCGCACGGGAGCCTTGTGGAAAGCGGGTTTGAGCCGGGCTCGGGGGGGGAGCAGCGGGGACCCCATGGGAAGGGGGGCTTTGTGGGCCGTCCCCCACGCCCCACCGGGGTCGCCAGCTGCCCCCCACGAGCGGCTCTCCGGCACGGCCACGGCCCCGGAGGCACAAGGACTTAGCACAGAGAACCAGCCGCTTGGAGCAGAAAAGCAAATGGACTTGTGTTGATCCGCGCCACCAAGCCTGCCCGGAGGGGGAAGGGCGTTGACCAGCCCGCCCGTTCCTCTCTGGAAAGAAAGATGGCGGCCGCACGGGAGCCTTGTGGAAAGCGGGTTTGAGCCGGGCTCGGGGGGGGAGCAGCGGGGACCCCATGGGAAGGGGGGCTTTGTGGGCCGTCCCCCACGCCCCACCGGGGTCGCCAGCTGCCCCCCACGAGCGGCTCTCCGGCACGGCCACGGCCCCGGAGGCACAAGGACTTAGCACAGAGAACCAGCCGCTTGGAGCAGAAAAGCAAATGGACTTGTGTTGATCCGCGCCACCAAGCCTGCCCGGAGGGGGAAGGGCGTTGACCAGCCCGCCCGTTCCTCTCTGGAAAGAAAGATGGCGGCCGCACGGGAGCCTTGTGGAAAGCGGGTTTGAGCCGGGCTCGGGGGGGGAGCAGCGGGGACCCCATGGGAAGGGGGGCTTTGTGGGCCGTCCCCCACGCCCCACCGGGGTCGCCAGCTGCCCCCCACGAGCGGCTCTCCGGCACGGCCACGGCCCCGGAGGCACAAGGACTTAGCACAGAGAACCAGCCGCTTGGAGCAGAAAAGCAAATGGACTTGTGTTGATCCGCGCCACCAAGCCTGCCCGGAGGGGGAAGGGCGTTGACCAGCCCGCCCGTTCCTCTCTGGAAAGAAAGATGGCGGCCGCACGGGAGCCTTGTGGAAAGCGGGTTTGAGCCGGGCTCGGGGGGGGAGCAGCGGGGACCCCATGGGAAGGGGGGCTTTGTGGGCCGTCCCCCACGCCCCACCGGGGTCGCCAGCTGCCCCCCACGAGCGGCTCTCCGGCACGGCCACGGCCCCGGAGGCACAAGGACTTAGCACAGAGAACCAGCCGCTTGGAGCAGAAAAGCAAATGGACTTGTGTTGATCCGCGCCACCAAGCCTGCCCGGAGGGGGAAGGGCGTTGACCAGCCCGCCCGTTCCTCTCTGGAAAGAAAGATGGCGGCCGCACGGGAGCCTTGTGGAAAGCGGGTTTGAGCCGGGCTCGGGGGGGGAGCAGCGGGGACCCCATGGGAAGGGGGGCTTTGTGGGCCGTCCCCCACGCCCCACCGGGGTCGCCAGCTGCCCCCCACGAGCGGCTCTCCGGCACGGCCACGGCCCCGGAGGCACAAGGACTTAGCACAGAGAACCAGCCGCTTGGAGCAGAAAAGCAAATGGACTTGTGTTGATCCGCGCCACCAAGCCTGCCCGGAGGGGGAAGGGCGTTGACCAGCCCGCCCGTTCCTCTCTGGAAAGAAAGATGGCGGCCGCACGGGAGCCTTGTGGAAAGCGGGTTTGAGCCGGGCTCGGGGGGGGAGCAGCGGGGACCCCATGGGAAGGGGGGCTTTGTGGGCCGTCCCCCACGCCCCACCGGGGTCGCCAGCTGCCCCCCACGAGCGGCTCTCCGGCACGGCCACGGCCCCGGAGGCACAAGGACTTAGCACAGAGAACCAGCCGCTTGGAGCAGAAAAGCAAATGGACTTGTGTTGATCCGCGCCACCAAGCCTGCCCGGAGGGGGAAGGGCGTTGACCAGCCCGCCCGTTCCTCTCTGGAAAGAAAGATGGCGGCCGCACGGGAGCCTTGTGGAAAGCGGGTTTGAGCCGGGCTCGGGGGGGGAGCAGCGGGGACCCCATGGGAAGGGGGGCTTTGTGGGCCGTCCCCCACGCCCCACCGGGGTCGCCAGCTGCCCCCCACGAGCGGCTCTCCGGCACGGCCACGACTCCAGGACACAGAAACCAATCTCTTAACTAGCTAACTTTTAATAGAAATTCTTCCAGGGTCAATAAGTAAAATAGCAGAAATTCAAAACCGCGCGGCCGCTATCGCGGCCGCGCGACATCATTTTATTCTTAAACCAAGTTGTAGAAAGCAAATCATTTCACAACGCTGTTTCAGCATGTCTGATTGTGGGGGGTGGGTCGTAAACTCTAAACAATAATTGTGCATCTTCTATCGAAATAATCTATCTAGTCAAAGTAGATAGAGTATTAACTAGAACTCATCTACCTCACAAGAATTGGGAGGGGTGGGAGGTGGGGGTCTATTTGGGTTCGGGGTTAAAAATGAGTATTGGCAAAGGGAAATGTGTTCGGTATCTACATGACTGAGACCTAAACCCGAAAGCTCTGTAACTTTTCCCACAGTGATTCAATAAATAAATAAATTATAAAAAAAAAAAAAAAAAAAAAAAAAGTTTCTACCTAAATATTTAAAAAAAAAAAAAAAAAAAAAATCTCAATGACTTAATCTCTCACCACGTTTTAAGGGAAGAATCTTTAAATACATCGTTGGGTATAACCCAATTTTTAACCAAGTTTACTTAGGATGATGGAACACTGGCAGGTAAACTTCCTTGCTTCGGTCTGGCAGAATGGCTCTAAAAAAATAATTTAGAACTTCATTGCTTCCAATTAACAGGTGATAAAACCAATCGAACATATATGAAAGTCTGAATTTTATAGAATGATTTAGAAATGCTGCAAATGTAGCTGTTTCAGGCATTTGTTTGTTAATAAGCAAAAAAAGGAAAGGATAGCATAAAGTATTAAGTATTTTGGAGGGCACACATTCAGTGGTGCTCAGGGCTTATTCCTGGCTATATGTTCAAGATCACTCCTAACAGGCTCAGGGATGCCAGGATTGGCACCTAGATTAGCTGCATGCAAGGCAAATGCTCTATTATTATACATTTCTTTATTTAGCAAGAAGGATGTATGAACTTGAAAATTAGCTTGTAAAATGAAACTAACCTAAAGCTCATGTTCTTTATACATGGAGTTGTACAAAGAAATAAAACTTTAAACCAGATGGACTTTTAATTCAAACCCTGGATTTGTTAATTAACAGATGTCTACTTGGTCAAGTTA